GCTATGTTGTCTCCGTCGCCGCCCCGCCGCCGCCGCCTCGTCGCCTCCCGTCGTCTGGGTTTGTGTGACCGTCCAGCCGATATGTTGTTGCCGTCGCCGCCCCGTCGCCGCCTCGTCACCGCCCGTTCTCTGGGCCTGTGGCATTTGGCGGCTATGTTGTCGCCATCCGTCGCCGCCCGTCGTCTGGGCTTGCGTGGCGGTCAGACGGCTATGTTGTCACCGTCGCCACCTCGTCGCCGCCTCGTCGCCGCCACATCACTCGCACCACACAGGTTGCACATCATACACCGCACAACCTGCATTGTACCACGCAGGCTGCACGAATTAGACCGCTTCACCTAGATTGTGCAACAGTTCTTCTTCTCCTCTCTTAAAATGAAGTCGGATCCAACACAATTCCCTCCCCCGCCCCCCAGATTATCGGCACGCCCTGCGGGTGTGAAATTTGCAAGTGGCGACCCTCCATCCTCGATAATGATTCTGAATTTACAATTGCCTAGCCACGCCGGGCTCGACCCCCCCTCACCCATCCATTTTCACACGATGTGCGCACATTCGTTCATCAAAAACCAGCACTGGTCGAGAATATTTCCCGCAACAACAAAAACCAGACGATGTGCGCATGGATTATAAACATTGAGTGTCGTGAATGATATATATATATATATATATATATATATATATACATATACATATACATATATAAATATACATATATATGTATGAGAGAGCGTGATCCACCGCCGCTTTACTGTGGAAAATTGCCCACCTTTTCCTCCGGAACCCGGGGGTCTCCCCCCCCCCCTCCGAAAATCCCCCCCCCTGCTGGAACCCCCCCCCCCCCCTCCCTCCCAGCAAAACCCCCGCCTCCCCTAACCCCTTTCCCCCCCCCCTCCCCCTCGAAAACCGGGGGGGGTCACTACCGGTTCGAACCCCTCCCCCCCCCCCCCCCCCCCTCCCCCCCCCCCCTCCGGATCCGGAAAACCGGGGGGGGTCACTACCGGTTGGACCCCCCCCCCCTCGAAAACCGGAGGGGGTCACTACCGGTTCGACCCCCCCCCCACGCACCGCCAGCAAACGACTCCCGGTCCCTACCACCGCTCGCATCACATCCCCCACTGTTGTTCCCAGCACCACTGTCCTCACCACCACTGTCCCCACTGGTTCCACCACCGTCCCTATTGTCCCCACCAGTGCCCCCACCACTGTCGCACTGTCCCCACTGTTCCCACAACTGTTCCCACCACGGTTCCACTCTCCCCACTGTCTCCACGGACCCAACCACTGCCTATCCCCACTGTCCCCACTGTCCCACTGACTCCTCCGCTGTCCCACTGAGCTGTCCCACTGTTCCCACCACTGTCCCCACTGTCCCCACCACTGTCCCCACTGTACCTCTGTCCCATTGTCCCACCGCCGTCCTCGCCACCGCCTTTACCAGTGTCCCCACCACCATTGTACCCTCCACTGTCCCAGTGTTTCCACCTCATTCCCACTGTCCCCACACCACTGTCCCCACCACCACCGTTCCCACCACTGTCCACTGTCCCCCCTGTTCCCACCATTGTCCCCACCACTGTCCCCACCACTACCGTCCCCACCACTGTCCCACTGTCCCCCCACTGTCCCCACCACTGTCCCGCTGTCCCCTCACCACTGTCCCCACCAACACCGTCCCCACCACTGTCCGCACCCCCACTCGGTTTTCGAGGGGGGGGGGGGGGTTCGAACCGGTAGTGACCCCCCCCCTTTTCATGATGAACTGGGGGGGGGGGGAGGGGTTCGAACCGGTAGTGACCCCCCCCGGTTTTCCAGAGGGGGGGGGGAGGGGTTCGAACCGGTAGTGACCCCACCCGGTTTTCCGCCAGCAGCGGTAGAACACGCTCTTTCATATGTATATATATATATATACACACATACAAGTTTATTAGCACACAAACAAAAACAAAAGAACTTAGAAACTGCTTTGCAAAACTGCTCGTCCAAAAGTCGACCGCCCCCCCCCTGCGAGTATCTGCCCCCCGCTTCGTATTGCAATTTACATATGATTCTGCCCCATCGTCCATCCTAACTATAAATTCACACCATTCCACAGGGGCCGGTATCCGCGCCCACCGCCATCCAGCACAACAAAAAACATTGTGCACGCGCACTCGCCTATCAAAAAACAAAAGTTTTTGAGAACCCCTTGCAAAAAAATGGACGAAACGCACACGCGCGCGTCGTCGCGCGCGCATATTGGAATTGGCCGAAAAGGTTCCATGCGGATTTCAAAATCGAGTGTCCAAGAAACAAATAAAAAACAAATGATTTCGCAGCACGTATTTTCAATTATTGTAAATATATGATTAAAACAGAAGAAGGAAAAACGCTCGCTTCTTTAAAAATGAAAAAAGAGGGGGAACACACATAACCAACAAAAAAGAAAGCAACAAAAAAAACGTTACCAAACGAGCTTCGCGCGCGCACATCGAAATCGTTCGGGCGCCCTTGCGCGCGCGCCGTCACGAAAATCCGTTGTAACAAATGAGACGAAGTGCACGCGCGCGTGTCGTCGCGCGCACGCCGAAAATGATCCAAAACATGTGGCTCCGCAGCGATATCAAATACGATTTTTAAATAAAAATAATTACATATAACCAACAAAGGTTTGGGAAGTTTTGCTATATAGGTTTCCAAAACAAAAAATGCGTTCGCGCTCTCGCGAATTCTTGAGAAACCCTTCGTTGCTTCAACATGTCACTGGAATTCTTCCAAACGGGCCGGCGGCGCCGCATGCCGACATCATTATGGCGCCTTTGCGCGCGTGGTGGGGGGGCACGGTGCGTGTCAGATAATACCATGCGGGCCAGTCTCGCGCGTCGGCATCGCGCGCGTGTCGAACTCTTTCCAAAACCTTCATCACCGACGCGAGAACGCCGTCTTCGTCGCCGGCGCGATCAGCATCGGCGCCCTCACTGGCCGCGCCGTCGTCGTTGACAACATCGTTAACAGCAACGCTACTATCATCATCGTGTCTACCATTGTCGACGTTGCCATAATATCGCGCCCGCCCAAGTCGCCGATTCGCAATGAAGTGCCCGCTGGGATGCGCCCAGCGGTCAGCGCCACCACGGCTGCGTCGGTCGCGCCACCCTAGCTGGCCGCTGCGCGCGCGTGCTTGGGTTGGCGCGGCCGCAAGGATACACCAGCCAACGCCAAGCATGCATTGCAATCGCCACAGCACGGGCTTTGCAAACCAAGTTGCGGGTGGGTGGGTGGGATGTTGCAAGAGCACGGAATGAGTCAACTCGCTGGTGGAAACAAATTGCACCGCATAGACAATACCACCTAATATGTCCCACATCGATTATACAACCTATCTTGCGCCACAGAAACCGCACCACATAGATTACTCACTCCACATGAACTGCACACAATGATTGCGCCACAGCAATTCTCCTGTCTACAGGAGAAATAGACTCTACCCCCCCCCCCGGCGTTATCGGTCCCCCTTTCGGGTATGTAAATCATATATGATCCTGCCCACATGCCCATCCAAACTATGAGTTTACAATATCCCAGGGGAACCGGTATTGGTCCCCCTGAGGTTCCCTTGTTATATATATATATATATATATATATATATATATATAAAAAAAAAAAAAAAAAAAAAAAAAAAAAAACAAAAAAAAAAAAAAAAAAAAAAAAAAAAAAAAAAAAACAAAAAAAAAAAAAAAAAAAAAAAAAAAAAACGCGGGGACATCTTTTGTTCTAACATAACGACTGTTTCGCGAATCCCTTGCCAAAAACGGGACGAAGTGCACACGCGCGCGTCGTCGCGCGCGCATGCCGAAATCATTCCAAAACCTTCGGTGTCGGAAGGATTTCGCAATCGAGTTTCCGAAAAAACATGCAACAACACAGGGTTTCGCAAAACTGCTGTGCTAAAAAAGCTTACGCGCGAGCTCTTGCGAAATCTCAAGAAAACCATAGGTTTTTCAAGATTTTCAGAAAATGCTACCAAACGGGCTTCGCGCGCGCATGTCGAAATCTGTCGAACGCCCTTTGCGCGTGTGCCGTCGCGAGAATCCTCCGCAAAAAATGGGGCGAAGTACAGACGCGCGCGTCGTCGCGCGCGTATGCAGAAATCCTTCAAAACCCATCGATTTCGGAAGGATTTCCAAATCGTGCGTCCAAAAAACCTACAAAAACACAGTTTCGCAACACGAATTTTCAACACAACCGTGCGCGCGCGCTCTTGCGTCGTCGTCGTCGTCGCCGTCCTCCCTCCTCCCGCGTCGTCGTCGTCGCCTACGTCGTCCTCTGTCTTTCCTCGTGTTCGTCGTCGTCGTCCTTTTTGGCGTCGTGGTCGTTTCCGTCGTCGTTGTCGCCGTGGTCGTTTTTCCTCCTCCTCCCTCGTCGTCGTCGTCGTCGTTGTCGTCGTCGTCGTTGCCGTCGTCGTCGTCTTCCCTCCTCCCTCGTCGTTGTCGTCGTCGGCGTCGCCGTCTTTCCTCCTTTTTCGTCGTTCGCGTCGTCGCCGTCCTCCCTCCTCCCTCGTCGTTGTCGTCGTTGTCGTCGTTGTCGCCGTCGTCGTCCTCCATCATCCCTCGTCGTCGTCGTCGTCTTCGTTGGCGGCGTCGTTCTCGTCGTCGTCATTGTCTTCGTCGTCGTCGGCGTCGGCAGTCGTCGTCGTCGGCGTCGTCGTCGTCGGCGTTGTCATCGTCGTCGTC